AGGGATAGGATAGATATTTAACTGTACCAGCCGATTGCAAACCTCCTGTATCAGCCGGATGCCTCTCCTTTGCAACAGCGGATTTTCTAGTTATTAAAACCATCTCTATTTTGCTTGGGTTGATGGCGAGACCACTTCCGAGTGCCCAATTTGTTACGATGCTGATATCCCTGCGTCAACTCGTCCACGGTGCTCAGGAACGTGCGTTGCCCCATTCTGAGAATAAGGTGTTTGAGGTTTGATTCAACTCCAAGACCGTCGAAAGCAGTAACAACTGCTTCCGGAAGCAGTTATTGGAAGCTCTCTCAATATCAAGGAAGATCCCAACAGCGTATTCCTTAACCCTAATGGCTTCATCAAGTCTTCGCACGATAGTATGCAGGGCAGTATCTACTGACTTCAATAAACATTTTGTTCTTCTGGTAGATAGTCCGATCCAATAATACAAAGCCATATCGTTTATTGTTAGAGATAGTCAATGAAAATAGTTACATGAACCGTACCAGACCTTGCTAGACGACTGTTTTCAGACCCTTTGAAGGACTAAGTTCGGGTAACAACTATTCAGAAAAATGCCTATTGAACTCAGATGTGTAATGATGTATCCTTTCTTTCTTAGTTCTAAATCGCCAATATATCCAGCTCGATTGGATGAAATCACATGTTAATTTGACTGTGCTTTAAGTTTTCCAACAGTTTTCGACAAGTGCTCGCTCTGAGAAGTCGTGTTTCGCTCTTTACGTATTGTTGACATTCTGCGCATCGTATATTTTCGGATACGTACACGTGTTTACATTTAGAAATCTTCTTGAATTCTTTCAATCCATAAGTGTATTGCAGATAAGTGCATCAAGTGTGAAGATTTGTTTAATATGGCCCCAGGCCGCCCAACCTTGGGGATAACAGGTTTGCATTGCTTGCCCCTAGATCCCAGCCAAAAAGAAAGAAACCCACCTACTCCCCCCTCAACTTTCCTGACCTGCCGCAGGCCAAGAAAGAAAACCCGAAATACATTCTCATTAATGCAACGGACTCAAACAAGCCAATTTCGAAGTATTCTTGCTTCGCTGTCCACCAAGCCTTAGAAGCTATTAGCAAAGAAATCATCTCAATTTCTCAGTTGCGTGCTGGTAATCTTCTGCTGCTGGTAAAAAGTAACCAAATTGCCCAAAAGTTCATTTCAACCAAAAAATTTCATGGTGTGTGCGAAATTGAAGGAAATACCATGACAACCTCAGTAGCGTGAAAGGTACAATCTTTGCTCTCTGTCTCAACAATGTCAGCGAGAAAGAGATAATAGAAAACATGAGAAGACCAGGTGTAGTCGATGTTTACAAATTTACTTGGCGGACGGAGGGAGTACCACTACCCCAACCCACGGCTGTAGTTTTACTTACCTTTGATCTTTTTGTGTTACCTGAAAAGGTAGAAGTATCTTGGAGAAGTGCAAAAGTAAAACCCTATTACCCCAACCCAATGCGATGCAAATCTTGCCAACTGCTTGGGCATACCGCGAAACGATGCAATAAACCTCYCGTGTGTGCTTCTTGCAGTCTTCCTATTCATTCTTTACCTTGCACACGCACACTATGTGCAAACTGCTCAGGAGCCAACACTTGCCCAAAATATGTGCAAACAAAGGAGATACTACAAATAAAATGTCAAAATAAATGCTCCATGAGAGAAGCAATTAAACTCTACAAAGCACAATCACCATCAATATTGAAAACTTTTTTCGCCGTAGTTGCCAGAAAAGCACAGCTGTCAAATAGTAACGCTAAGTCAACCTCCAATTCTCTTGATATATGTACCTACACATTCTTTAGTCAACAAATCACCCATTACGACTTCACACGATCTTTCTTCCAACAACTTCTCCGAGTCCATTAACCACCAAACAAATCCAAAAAGAGCATGGTCCGATATTAAACGACTTTCTGGCACTAATCCTCAATCGCATATTATTTCAATTAATAGCGAACAGGCCCTATCGTTGACCACAAGCAAATAGCAAATCACTTCGCAAAGTACTGGTCCAATTGTTCACACGATTCAAATTTCCACCCTACTTTCCTTTCAGAGAAGAATAAATACCTCAACAGTAGTTTAAAGAGTCCCCCTGCAACTTCTAGCATCACCGACTGCAAGGTCAATAACATTGAATTCGAATCAACTCTATCTTCTTTAAGAGGGAGAACCCCCGGAGCTGACAGAATATCATATCCTATGTTGCACCACTTACCCCCATGTATGAAGACAAGATTGTTAATGCTATATAACATCTTAAGCCAAGATACGTTTCCTCAGGCTTGGAAGCCCGCAGCCGTTGTCCCCATTCCAAAAACTGCCAACCCCACTACAGAATCTTCAGGCTTTAGGCCTATTTCTTTACTGAATTGCCTGGGAAAACTACTCGAAAAAATTATAGCCAGACATATTTCGTGGCATGCCTTAACCAAATATTCCATGAGCCCTTAGCAAATGGCTTACAAGAACGGGCAAAGCACCATTGATGCTTTGCTGCTCTTTGAAAATCATGCATCTTCAGCCTTAGCAAATAGAAACCTCTCTGCACTTAGCATTGACTTCGAAATGGCCTTCGATCGGGTTGGAGTCCACGTTGTACTACGGCAACTCGAAAAATGGGGCATTGGGTGCCATATTCTAAGACTCCTTCAGTCATTCGTCACAAACCGAAGATTCGTATAAAAAGTCAACAACACATTGTCAGACCAGACAACACATTGGAATACCCAAGGGGTCTCCCCTCTCTGTATCCCTTTTTATCGCTGCTTTTAATGAAGTGAGCCATATAATTAATAAATWYATAAATATTGATCATATTTGCTATGCTGATGATGTGTTGATTTTCAGTAAACTGAATGATTTAAATGTTGTTAAACGGGACTTCACAAACATTCTTAGGGATCTAAATATATGGTCCGAATCTTCGGGCGCCAATGTRGCTGTAAATAAATGCAAAAATTTCCACATTTGTCGCAAGCACAAATGTGATTACTTTACAATTATTTACAATAACAGCCCTATCTCAAACACTAATAGTCTTAAGTTCTTAGGTGTAATTTTTGATAAGAAACTTACCTTTAAGGAACATTGTTTGTACTTAAGAAAGCAACTGGCTGCCCGACTGAATATTATCAAATATTTATCATCTAAACATTGTTTAAWCAACTCTGCAACTCTAATAAATGTAACGAGGGCGCTTGCGTTGTCGAAGATAGATTATGGCCTTCCTATCTATGGTAATTGCGCGAAAATCCACATCAAAAAACCACATGGCAGTAAGCAGTGTGACAAAAGTCACACCAACCCCGCCATTTATTAACAACTCTTTGCTGAGTCTACAACTTCTCTCCTCCCTGAATGGACTGCAATCTTAACGGACGGACCCAAAACCGAGAAAAGTACATCATTCGCAGTTGGCGACGATAAAGGAGCAACAATTAAAGTTGGAATCCTGCCAAGCTACGCCTCCGTTTACACAGCAGAAGCYGCAKMGATCCTCAACGCTATCATTTTCGCTTCAAATTCCAAATTGAAAGCAATTATTTGTACAGATAGCAAATCAACTATATCAGCGGTCTTAAATGTTATGAATAAATC